TTGCCCTGAAAAACTAGCTGCTGGAAATTGATGTGAGAGTGCATTATATGCAAGAGATTTAGCATAAGCAGGTTCTGTCGCTTACTGGGTAAAATCTGCAGCAGTCCACAGGGAACAGAACAATGAATAGGCTCTGCTCCCTTGCTGTTGTTACTCAGTTATGTACTACAAGGAAAGATCTTTTTCTTTCTGCCTTTCAGAAGCAAGGTATGTATAATATTTTGGGGCATGTTGTACACAGTACGGGGAGAGAATTGCACTACTCTGGGAGGTAATGCAGTGTAATGGCCAAAACATCAGGTCTTTGGTGACTGGGTTCAACTCCAGTCCAAGCTCCAATAATGACTTTGTGGTGAGTGAGCTCACTTCCTTGTGCCCAAATTTTCCCATCTATAAAACTGGGATAACAACACTCATCTTCTTCAGTATAACCTCCCCAGTACTATTATTATTTTTGGAAAGACTTTTAAACACAATACAGGTCTCCTTATTGGGAACTCCTGAAGGTGAAGGATTATATTATCCTTGGCTTAAACCCCCGCCAATTAAAATAGAATAAAACTCCAGAAAAAATGATATTTAGCAAAAAATGTGCCACGTGATTGACCCAAAAAATATTATCTTAGGAAGGAAGGGAGCTTATGAGAATGTATCATTAACATACTTGTCTTCTTCTATTTCAGCGAACACGACATTGCCTTTTAAGCTTTCATGGAGTGCTACCTAAAAAGCCACACAGATTCAACACTTTAAGGTACATCAAGGAGCACAGTGGAATGTGTTAAGCCAGGATTGCAAATGACACATGATGCAGCTTATTTGCAGTCACTGTTGTTATAGGTCCTGATCTGGCTGTTATCTGTGCAGTTAACTTTATGGAGCTTTGTAATCCTATTAGCTTTAGCATATGACCACTGTTCTGTGCCCATGATAGTCCCAGATACTGTATTTACCCAAATCTAAGATGAGGTTCCACCCATAATCAGCATGGGGGGAAGCCCCATGTCTTAAATTTGCATACAAACTAGGAGACGTTGTGTAGGCAGTTGCTACAGCTCTGACTCTGGCCCGGAGCCTGAGTTAAGGACAGAGTCAGACCTGTAGCAACCTCCTGCTCCCTTCCACTTGCCCTCAGAAGCTTCTTCTCCTCTTCCCTCCCGTCCCCTCCCTCTGTACTGGCAGGGGCAGCTGGGCTCTAGCTCAGGCTGGGTTCCCTCTTGGGCACAGAGCATGTGGAAACTGTCCCCTGCCTGCCCAGTCAGCAGTGCCAACACCACTGCATGGCTGCCAGGGGCTGTGATTCCAGGTGGGAACAGAACCCAAGCAGCATGTGGCAATATGGGAGGGGCAGAGGCTGTGAGGAGCTGGGGATAGTGTGGTGCCAGGGCTGGGGGTTCAGAAAAGCCTGCAGGGAAGAAGTGGCGGGAATAGAGGGCAAGGAGGGGCATCTGACCCCCCCAAAGCCACCCAATCCCCCTCTATACGACATTGGCCAGGCTGCAGTTGGACTACTGCATCCAGTACTGGGCGCAGCAGGACAGGCCCTACGAGGAAAGACTGAGGGACCTGGACCTGTTCAGCCTCAGCAAGAGGAGGCTGAGGGGGAACATGGTGGCTGCCTACAAACTCATTAGGGGAGACCATCAGCAAATAGGAAGAGCCCTATTCTCCCCAGCACCACCTGGGGTGACGAGGAACAATGGTCATAAGCTGATAGAGAATAGGTTTAGGTTAGAGATCAGGAGGCAATATTTTACGGTTAGGGTGGCCAGAATCTGGAACCAACTTCCTAGGGAAGTGGTCCTCACCCCTACCTTGGGCAAATTCAAAAAGAGGTTAGATGATCACCTGTCTGGGGTCTTGTGAACCCAGCATTCATTCCTACCTGGGGCAGGGGGCCAGGCTAGATCATCTGTTCAGGTTCCTCCTGACCCTAGCTACTATGAAACCATGAATCCCCCCAGTCACTGTTTTCCCTGCTGTAACAGTGTTGAAGGTGGGTAAATTTAAGACAACCCTCCAATAATTAGATTCTATACCTAAAAAATTATAAAAGAATTATAATTTTTCTGTATATAGAATCTAGTTATTGGGGTCTTGTCTTAAATTTGGTCATCTTAGATTTGAGTAAATATGATAATTGTCACTGGCGCTTACATAAGTGCATTTTATCTATAGTTCCCTCTTTCCCACAACTTTACAGAGTGTAATTACTATGAATCTGCCTAAATCATGGTGGGACTTACCAATTTTCACAGGTTTACCAGAGTGTAAAGTTCCAATTCTGCGGTCATTTGACGGTGGCCCTGAGCCTTCACACCGATTGGTAGAGAGGCCCTGACGGGGCAAGGAGGGATATAGGGACAGCCACCATCTTGTCTGCGTCCCTTCATGCCACCCCACCACCTGGCACCTTCTCTTCCCAGCAGCAAGGATTGCTGATTCCCACTGAAGAGTCAGCATTTTATTTTTATTAAGGGTTTTGGTTTTTTTTATTTAGTGGATTTTGCGTTTTCTGTGAAATCCCTGAAACCATGAATTAAGTTGGTCCCTAGTAATTACCCAGTCTTGCACAGAAACAGAAAGAAGAATGGATGTTGAGCACCCACACTTCTCTTATTGACCTCTGAGAATGCAGATATTTTGATTCCCCCAGCACAGAAAGTCAGCAG